CTTGGTACAGAGTCTATTTACCGAATACGGCTCTATCTTTTTCTGTAATGGAAAACGAAGTTAAGGGAGCATTTTATAGTCTCGACTTTCCTGTTTTATATTAGGTTTTTTGGTTGTACATACAAATTCCATTACAAAACTGAAATAGAAAAAAAAAAAGCCAAAAGCTCAGAGTTCCTGAGGTTTTTGTCTGGCAGCAAGGCATGCCTATTGTTGCAAGAGTTCCTCAAACGTAGCTACAATTAAAGACAAAAGCTTTCTTTTTGGTTCCATGAATTTTATGCCTAATGGGGAGAGAGATCTATAACGAGCTTCAGACTACATTTATTGGGCCCCTTGAAGAGATTTCTGCGAAAATTGATTTATGCTTAAATAGAGTTCGACCCCAAAGAAATGGAGTTTCTCATAAACCCAGAGTTGTGAAACCAACTTTTCTTGAAGTAAGAAGAGCAATGCTTTTCATCTTCATTTTCAAATGAGTAAGAAAAACAGATGACTTTACCATGGTTACTGTACCAGGGTAACTCAACAATACCTTTAGGGGGTTGGTGCCAGTACAATTATGAATTGGATGCGTGCTATCTGACACTGTCAGCCAGAATAGCCTGCCTTAGGCTGGTATGAATAACCGCACCATCACCACTGTGTCTCACTGGCGTGGCGGAGAGGAACAGCAAAGATCTTGAGTGGTCTCATTGGGCTGTGCTCATGGAGATTCAGAGCAAGGAATATTGAAGGCAGAAATGGTGGATTTTCAGAAGCAGGGTTAAGGTGGTGAAATACCGTGGGAAAAGGGGCATTCCACTCCATTGATAATGACTAGAAGGGATTCTGGGTGCCAAATTAGTGTCATATGTGCTTTCCTATATGGGTTATTTATGGGGCCAGAGAGCACACTGCATGGGGACTGCCAGGAGAGAGAGACAAGCGACTGCAAGCTCCATTCTCGGATCACACCCCGTCAGCCAGGTGCAGTAGGTGACACAAGCCCCGGGAACTAGGGCATTTTTTCAAATGATGAACAAACAACGGAGCAAGGAGATACTACAGTTACAGGTGGAATATTTTCATAATTTCTCAGGCTACATTTCCATGTCTTCTGCCCTTGTGTTACTCTGGCTTGATAATTTGAAAGACCTGTTTAAGCACATGGTACCGACACTTCAGTACTTTTCCAAAGAAAGCGTCTTCTCTTCCCACTTAATTTTCAGATAGAGAACCTTATTGTTTAAAACTTCAACTTCCCCAAAAAACCAACATGGCAGTTTCCTGGGGGAGGGGGGCAGAGGCCTCTTTAGCAGAATATTCAAATAATCCGGCATAGAACTGGTTTTCCTAAGCTGCTGTCTTCTCTTACATGTGAAACAGACTCACTGTGAAAAAGATGAAGTATATAAAATGCGCAATTCCCCGTATTATTTTGTAAAAAAATGGCAAGGCATATCATTTGTTTAAAAATCACCAGTCCCCCTTGTCATCACACCACTGTAAGCACATCACAGGCTAAGCAGTGGTTTGGGGGCTGTGCTGTCTTTCCCTCTCCCCCTCCAGCTGCGTCTTCCCTTTTGGATGAGACGGATTGAAACATGTCGTGTGGAGATCCGTGAGTCTGTGCTGACTATGTTAAAAGTGAGTCAGAAGTCGGTGCCCTGAGGAGGTGGACTCAGCTGCCTCTCCGGAGCAGGACTGGCATCTGTCTTCTCACGGATGCCAGGCAAGAATGTGGGAGCACTAAGCTAATAACAGTCCATCACCCAGAGACCTTCTGCCTTGTACCCTGAGAGATTATTGACTGGGTGTATCCTCTCATCCCTAGGGCAATGGCTCCAGTCATCTACTGGGGAGTCTCTTTCTCAAAATATGGGCCATTTTTCTTTTTTTTTTTTTTAGCAATTCTTCACTATTCTGGGGGATGGAGTTGAAATGGAGCTGCATGGGATTCCCATAGAAATAAGCTTTAGAGCTTGTCCACTCTAAAATAAGTGTTGCATTTTATTAAAGGAACAAAATGTTCCTTAAAAACATATGTGCAAGCATTATTTTTTCACCTGGAGAAGGGGTTTGATATATGCAAAGAGTAACAGCCCACAACCTTTAAACATTTCAAAATTCTCTCTCGATGCAGTATAATGCACTTGATTAAATGCAGCGAGTATAACTCAAGACTCCAAACTATTCATTCGATCTTAATTAGAGTTAATGCCTGATACAGTCCAGAGCATAGGAGGGCCTCTGGTTCATTCACTGAATAGCACACTGCACCTCAGTCAGTCCCACAGCTGGAAATTCCTACTCGCACCTCATGGATCCATTGACACAGCTCAAGTAGTTCCTGGGAGTGTGCAATCTTCAATATTCTCAGCTGCTCTTTTCGTCCTGTCTCACCAAGGCAAGACATTTACAAACTGGGTTAGTTGTCTATCCCGACCCTCTCCAGATCTGACATTGATCTCCCAAAAAAGGAAGTGCCTCAGCCTTTCTCAGGTATATCTTTCTGGCTAGCCTGAAAAAAATACTACAAGAGAGAAGAAACCCAGAAATTCCATTTAAAATAGTCTCACTGGAAAGTGTGTTCCTGCCTGAGACTTACACCTGAAGGGAAAGAAGTTCAAGTTGTCAGTCCTCTTCACTGCTTCTGTTCCTGCCCCCAGACTAAGTCCTCTGTATCCCCAAATCCTTGGGAAATGGAAGAGCACAGAACTGGGCTCATAAATCAGCCACTAAGAGGAAGAGCTATTAGACAGGTCTCGGGTGACATGGAAGCTGGGAACAAACAGGCCAGGAAAACTTAGGGTCAGAGTTCTAAACCCACCAGTGACTCAGGATGTCACTTAGACCAAAGCATCCTGTTGCTAACCCTGAGAATGGAGTTCAAAACAGAGGGAGCATGGCTCACTCCACGCACGTTATAGTAGCAGAGGTAGGTCACACAACCTCCTTTCCTGCTTTTATATGTAGTGACGTTTACTAAGAAATTTTTTTAAAGATTTATTTAGTTACCTGAAAGTCAGAGTTACACAGAGAGAGAAAGAGAGAGAGAGAGAGAGAGAGAGAGAGAGGTCTTCCATCCGCTGGTTAACTCCCCAGTTGGCTGCAACAGCCAGAGCTGTGCCGATCCAAAGCCAGGAGGTTCTTCTGGGTCTTGTCAAATGGGTGCAGGGGCCCAAGAACTTGGGCCATCTTCTACTACTGTCCTGGGCCATAGCAGAGAGCTGGATCGGAAGTGCAGGAGCCGGGACTCAAACCAGCACCCATATGGGATGCCAGCAAGGCAGGCGGCAGCTTTACCCACTATGCCATAGGACCAGCCCCTACCCAGAAATTTGTGCCAGGATGAGCATTTTCCCCAAAGATTTGGGTGTGCTCAGAGCTTTGCAGGACAAGAAGTAGGTTCATCATCCAGTAACACTTTGGTCAGTTGGTCATTCTTTGTGCAACTGTTTTTGAGTATTTTATCAATAGTTCCTCTTGGCTTCATCTTTCCTTATTTTTATGGGATAGCGCAGAAAGTTTTCCAACAGAAAATTGGGATTGGCAGTAGCTATTTCTTTAGCACTTTCGGTGGCTTTGTAAATAAATAGAGAGTGAAGGATAGGTCAACATTGGGGGCACAAGTATATGGTTACTTTGAAATATGGCTTGCTTGTGCAGACTATTCATTTATTAAGTCAGGTTAAAAGTTTTTTCCCCCTATGTATTCTTTGAGTTTTTCCTTTTAAAACATCAGGAGTACACATAAGACCTATATATGTTTACTATAAAGAGATAAAAGAATTATCTGATTTGGTAGCATTTTAATTGGTTAACAATCACATATAAAATGTCAGTCCCTTGATCTCACTTATGTATAACACTGTAGAATATAGTGAAATATTGATTCTTATCTTAATTAAATTTGTGAGCGTTAAGAACTAAAATTCCCCTTAAAAGGAAAATAGAGTACATGGTGTCTTTTCAATAGAAATATTTCCAAGATGTCAAAGAAGAAAATAGCCACAGAGGAGCAACCGAGGGTTAGAATAGGCTACTGCCGTGCCTGTTTGTTTAGTTAAGTGATGGATGTGGATATTTTCAAGACTTGCAGACAAGGAAAATGGACAAAAATACAAAGAAACACATGCAATTTAATGATGCTGGCACCAGTTTAAAGAACACCAAGTCCAGGAAGCATTGGCGCACATCAGGAGAGGAATTTGTCGAATACCACTCCGTGCTCCTACCCAGGAGAGAAATGTTCCCACAGTCACATCCTGACCTTCCCCCGCCCGGGGAGGGCTGCTTTGCTCAAGCCTGCAGAATTCTGGACACTGAGCCAAAATGTCTAAAAGCCTGCCCAGCTGGGCAGGAACATTTCTTAGCCAGATTTCCTTAGACGACTTCCTGATCTCCGTGGGAATTTTCTTTATTTTTCGATGTCTGTGCACTGTAAGGTCTCTTACCAGATTAGCAGCACTGGCTCTTGTTTTTCATTCAGATTCCTGTTATAATGATTGATTTTCTACCGAGATATCCTTTAACCACTTTATCTAAAATAACAATGTCCATCCCCTTCACTGACTCGTTTATCTCACCCTGGCTTCTTTTTATATAAAGCTTAGGACTAGAAACACAATACATGAATGAATTTGTTCCTGAATAAATGAATGAATGAAACACTAAATAGCGATCTTGCCTGAAAAACTGGCTTTACATTATCTCTCTATCCTGTAAAATCACATTCCCTTCCATCACTATTCTCTTCATTGCATTCTCATTTTCTAAAATTATTGTGAAAATCTGCTCTTTTGTATTTCTCCCAGATGTAATTTAAGTTACATAATGGTTGAGAAATCCTACTATCAGCTCTTGGCACAAAGTAAATTGTCAATAAAATTTTTGTAGAAGATTTATTTATTTATTTGAAAGGCAGAGTGACAGAGAAAGAGGGAGAGGTGGAGAGAGGACAGAGAGAGAGAGAAAGAGAGCATGAGAGAGAAATCTTCCATGTCTTGGTTCATTACCCCAGATGCATACAGCAGGCAGGATTGAGTCAGGTGAAAGCTGGATGCCAGGAACTCCATCCGGGTCTCCCACATGGTAGCAGGAAGTCAAGTACTTGGGTCCTCATCTACTGCCTTCTCAGGAGCAGCAGCGGGAAGTCAGATCAGAAATGGAGGAGCCAGGACACAAACTGGCCCTCGGATATGCGATGTGGGCGTCCTAAGCAGCTGCTTTACAATGCCACCCTGTCAATAAAGATTTTTAGAATCAATGTTTTCACAGCTTTCTACATCACTGTCCTTATATTTAAGTGAATAATACTGTTAGAAGTTAATAAACACAGCAAACTGACAGCCCGTCATCACATCACTATAAAGGAGGTATTGCAATTGTAATTTTAAGGGCTGAGGAAACTGATGCTCAATTCCTATCCTAAGCTGGTGCCGCTGCTCACTAGGCTAATCCTCTGCCTTGCGGTGCCGGCACACTTGGTTCTAGTCCTGGTCGGGGCACCGGATTCTGTCCCGGTTGCCCCTCTTCCAGGCCAGCTCTCTGCTGTGGCCAGGGAGTGCAGTGGAGGACGGCCCAAGTGCTTGGGCCCTGTACCTGCATGGGAGACCAGGAGAAGCACCTGGCTCCTGCCATCGGATCAGCACCGTGCACCGGCTGCAGCCCGCTGGCCGCGGCGGCCATTGGAGGGTGAACCAACGGCAAAGGAAGACCTTTCTCTCTGTCTCTCTCTCTCACTATCCACTCTGCCTGTCAAAAAAAAATAAAAATAAAAAAATAAAAAATAAAAAAAAATTCCTATCCTAGCTTTCTGACCCCATAATGCACAGATAAGTGTCATTCACAGCAGAGTATTGTAGGAAAACTATGAAGAGAATTGGAAAGTTCCTAGGGAGAGCGTGAGATCACATCCCACGGAAGGTGCTGTGTGGCAGGCATCACTAGGAGAGCCAGAGAAAGCAGAAGGAGCAGGATAAAGTCAGAGAGCCCATTGAGATGACGGAAGGAAGAGTACACGATCCAACCTAGTGGGTATGACACGCATGTTGAGAAACAGTTATGAGGAAGGAGGAAAGCACCTGACGTCCATATTAGAGGGCCCTAGAGGTCATTTACACAATAGTGCACGTAAGGGCACGTTTCGGTGCAGTGATGAACATGCTGCTTTGGCTGCCTGCATCCTGTATCAGAGTGCATGATTAGAGTTCTCGCTCCTCTGCTTTTGATTCAGCTTCCTGCTAATGCACACCCTGGGAGGCAGCAGATGATGGCTCCAGTGTGTGGGCCCCTACCACCCCAATAGGAGAACTAAATTGAGTTCCACTCTCTTGGCTTCAGCCCGCCCCAGTGCTGTCTGGTTGCAAGAAATCAGGGAATGAATCAGCAGGTGGGAGATCTCTCTCTCTCTCTTTCTCTCTCTCTCCCCCTCCTGCCTTGTCTCCGCCTTTCAAATAAAATGAAAATAATTAAAATTCAAAAAATAAGGATGTGCACAATGGAGGGAAAGTAGAACCACAAGCTTTCAGACAGTGAAATGCCATTAACTCAAGCTTTTCTTTAAAAACATGCAGGAGGTAAACAAAGGCATCCTATGCACAACAGATTGAAAGGGAGAATTTGGAAAATAATCAAGAAGGGAGGGACTGGAAATTAAAGGTCTCACATGTGGCTTGTAATAAGTGTGGGTTCTACCGAGACAGAGTCTGGATGGAGAGGATTTACAACTAGACCACCATTTGGGGAAGCATCCTCTCTGGCCTTGGCAAAGAGTCCACCTTGACCTAATTAACCTAGACGCATCTCTTATTCTGGCACCAGTTGCTTTCCTATCTGAAATGTGCTGACTTGCACCTTCCTCGGCTGTTCAACAAGGCAGATCCAGCAGGACAAGCCGCTGGCTGTTCTACAAGGCAGATCCAGTGGGACAAGCCGCAGGCTGTTCTACAAGGCAGATCCAGCGGGACAAGCCGCTGGAGCCTGAGCATCTTTCCTGCAGTGTAGCATTTTCCCTTCTACTGTGTCTTGGTGCTCCTTCCTGTCTGTGTCCCCCTCAGTCCCCATGAAGGATCCAGATTCAGTCGCAATGTCTTCTAGAAGGGCTGAATTGGCTGATGTAAGAGAGAAGATAGGACAGATTGCTGTACAGGAATATGTCTAAGGAGAGTTTAGCAGCAATTACAATTACTGGGAGGTTATCAAAATTCGGTATGCATCAGAGTAACCCAGAGGGCTTGTTAAAGCGCAGATCCCTGGGCACCTCTCTTGTCACCGCTGGTCTTACTCAGTGATTGGGGTAATGTGGCTTCTCTGGGATTTCATTTTCAGAACCATCACTGTAAGAGAAGACTTGTCTTTATTGATATCTCCTGGGTTTCATAGCAGAGAACTCAAAGATGTATATTGTTCTTTAGTAGCTGCAGTTGGTAAGAATGAACAATTTTTCAGCCAAAAGCTATTTTGAATAAGAGTCTGTGGTCTTTAAGAAATGCATCTCCTTACTATTCAGATTTTCAAGCAGTAATAGGATTGATAGCCGAGTTCCTTCTTAAGTAATTTTTAAAAAAGAATAACTCCAGCTGCTATGTGGGAAAGAATACATAAATTCATTAGTTAAAATGGTGATTAAAATTACATACTCAAAGCTTTCTTATGCTAAAAGGAATTGTATTTACCAGTAGTCACAATGAAAATGTTGGTTGAGCCTTCATAACTGCTTTATTGCTACTGCAAATCTAAAACGTCCCTGGAATTCAAATAGTTCAGATTTATTCATGAACAGCATATCTTTTCCATATCAGCATGAGGGTGATTAGTTCTCAGATCATAAATGTAAAGACATCACAATCGATCCATGTACTAATCATTTTTTCCTGTTGGGAATGGGGAGATGGTTGACTCCTGGACTGATAATAGCAACACGGGTTTCTCCATACAATGAGAAAAAAACTAAGAAGAGAGGATTGTTTGCATTTTTTGTTTCTTTTTTTAGAGGGTTGGGTTTATTTGGCACAAACAGCAGATGGAGAGCTGTCTGCTGATGCTGTGGTTGAGGGAGGGAAAGGAGGATTTTTACTTTTTATTTTTAGAGATTTATTTATTTTATGTGAAAGGCCGAGTTACAGAAAGAGAGGGAGAGGCAGAAAGAGGGAGAGACAGAGAGTGATCTTCCATCCACTGCTTCACTCCCCAGATAGCTGCAATGATTGGGGCTGGGCCAGGCCGGAGCCAGGAGCCAGGAGCTTCTTCTGGGTCTCCCATGTGGGTGCAGGGGTCCAAGCACTTGGGCCATCTTCACTGCTTTCCCAGGCACATTAACAGACAGCTGGATTTGGAAGTAGAGCAGCCAGGACTCAAATCGGTGCCCATATGGGATGCTGACATCGCAGGCAATGGCTTTATCAGCTTCGCCACAGAGCCATCCCCCGAGAGAGAGAATTGTTTATGCAAAGAACCACTACCCAGGGCTTGTCTGAAAGAATACACCTCAGATTCCCTACCACTACCCTACTTAGCAGCAATGGGGAAGATCTCTCTATACTCCTATGTCACATAATTTCCAGGACAATTTTCTTATTATCTTTAGATTATTAACATTTTATGTATTTTCAACAAATTTTAATTAGTGATTTTATTTGCTACTCTATATCCCTTTTTCTGCCTTTTCCTTACCATAACTATTTTGACAGTAAGTACTCTAAATAGCCCTAAATACTCAGGGAATTTTTCTTTTGTCTTTAATAGGAAATGCCACTGAGGTAAAATAAAACACAACACAGAAGTGGGAGTGTCTTTGGTGGCACACTGACAGAAGATCTTTTTTCCTTCTATATGCAAATGTGTGTGTCATTGATGTGATGATTTTAATGGTCAATATGTGAAATATCAGAACTGGATGTTTTCTTGCTCATTAATTAGTAAGGTGTATGTCAGTAAGGAGAAAATAAACCATGAGAAAGACAGGAGCAGCATAAAACCATAAGAACTATTTCTCACTGAGCCAGAGGATGGAAGATCTCTCTCACTTTCTGTCTCTTCCTCTCTCTGTGTAACTCTTTCAAAATAAATAAATAAAACTGTTTTTTTTTTTTAAGAAAAAGATGGTTTTAAAAAAGTTCATGAAAAATTGTGCACCGATTTCAAACAATTTTGCTTCACATCAAACCTCTTTTAATTCCATTTTCCATGAACTTTGAAGTGCCCTTGGTCCTTCTTCATCGTGTTTTCACATGTGAATGTGCAGAGAAGGGGGAAGGCAACTAGAAATATCAAAACCACAGCTGTTATGAATTAAGAATTCTTGTGACCTACCAAGTGTAAAATGTCCTGGTCCAATCATAAAAGACAGACCTTAGGACAGGATCTTCCTGCATACTTTCTCACACCTATCAATATTCAAAGTGAACTCACAGGCTAAGCAGTGATGGGTGTCCCAATTACACAGCACAAATACATAAATGAAACCACACCAATGAGTTAGTACCAGTTCATTAGATAAATAAATATTTCCAGGATAGTTATTGGCAACGCATTAGTCACATAGTCTATGTTTCAAATCTTTTCACAATGTGGAACTGGCAAAATTCAAGGGAAAAAACAAGTGCCAATCACTTACTCATCTAATTAGTTAAATGTCCAAGCCCCTGACTCCAAATTCTTCTCTCAGTCTCACAATGAAGGAATTGGTTTTTCTGGCTTTAGTTGTAATTACTACAATAATGCTACTTTAACTCCAGGATTAGGATATTAAAATTCACATCCTAAACAAGAAAAGCTTTTTTTCTAAATTGGAGTCACTTCCCTCCCCTTGCTTCTCAGTGGTCAAAATGATAGCAATGAAATCTGTGATATGTGCACATTAATGTTTATTGCAGCACAATTCACAATAGCCAAGACCTGGAACCAACCTAAATGCCCATCAATGGTAGACTGGATAAAGAAATTATGGGATATGTATTCTTTAGAATACTATACCGCAGCAAGAAACAACGAAATCCAGTCATTTGCAACAAAATGGAGGAATCTGGAACACATCATGCTGAGTGAAGTAAGCCAGTCCCAAAGGGACAAATACCATATGTACTCCCTGATCGGTGACAACTGACTGAACACCAAAAAGGAAACCTCCTGAAGTGAAATGGACACTATGGGAAATGGTGACTTGATCAGCATAGCCCTGACTGCTAATGGACAACTTAATATATTATCCCTCATAGTATTTTTTTTTGTCTGTTCTACTTAATATGACTGGTTTAATTCTGTAATTATCACACAGTTATTCTTAAGTGTTGAAAATTAACTGAAATGTGAACCCTGTTAAACATAAAAGTGGGAATAAGAGAGGGAAGAGATGTATAATTTGGGGCATGCTCGGGCTGACTTGCCCCAATTGGTAGAGTTGGAAACATACCAGGGGATTCCAATTCAATCCAATCAAGGTGGCATGTGCCAATGCCATCTCACTATTCCAAGTGATCAATTTCAGTTCACAATTGATCATAATGAAAGGACTAAGAGTCAAAGGGAGCACATAAACAAGTCTAGTATCTGCTAACACTAACCGATAGAATAAATAAAGGGGAGAGTGATCCAACATGGGAAGTGAGATACTCAGCAGACTCATAGAATGGCGGATGTCCTAAATAGCACTCTGGCCTCAGAATCAGCCCTAAAGGCACTCGGATCTGGCTGAAAAGCCCATGAGAGTATTTCAGGCATGGAAAGCCAAGGCACTCTGGCAAAAAGATCTCTGTGAGTGAGATCCCAGTGGAAAGAACAGGTCTTCAAAGAGGGAGGTGCCTTTCTCTGAAGGGAGGAGAGAACCTCCACTTTGACTATGACCTTGTCTAAACAAGGTAAGAGTCGGAGAACTCAAGGGGCTTCCATAGCCTTGGAAACTCATAACTGGTGCATAGGGAGATTATTGATGCCATAAACAGGAGTGTCAATTTGTAAAGTCAACAACAGGAGTCACTGTGCACTTACTCCTCATGTAGGATCTCTGTCCTTAATGTGCTGTACACTGAGGCTTAATGCTATAACGAGTACTCAAACAGTATATTTCACTTTGTGTTTCTATGGGGGTGCAAACGATTGAAATCTTTACTTAATGTACACTAAACTGATCTTCTGTAAAAAAAAAAAAAAAAAAAGAAATTATCAATTCCCAACTTGACTCTCACTGGGATTAAACATGACAATAGGTCTGATCTGATTTCATCATCATTTAAAAAAAAATCATCTATTATTTTTCACTTTATGTTTCTGTGTGGGAACAAACTGTTGAAATCCTTACTTAAGGTATACTAAGCTGATCTTCTGTATATTAAGATAATCGAAAATGAATCTTGATGTGAATGGAAGGGGAGAGGGAGTGGGAAAGGGGAGGGTTGTGGGTGGGAGGGACGGTATGGGGGGGAAAGCCATTGTAACCCATGAGTCGTACTTTGGAAATTTATATTCATTAAATAAAAGATAAAAAAAAAAAAGAAATCTGTGATATGCTGCTTTCATTATTATTCTTTTGTGGTCATATACATTATTCTAAATCATTTATATTTACCAGTGAAGCCAATCAACCAATTAACCAACCAACCAACCAACCAACCTCCCTGATATGTCATCTGCTTGTCTAGCTGTCACTACAAATATATCTGCATTAATAAATACATAAATATTAATAATATGCATGTAGATGCATGTATATACATATGTGCACATGCCTACCTTTTATTAATATACATATTTATGTCCTGGTGTAAATCTCCATATACAGTACTATATACTCAAGCCCCTGTTTACATCTTTCCCCTGGAATACATTTGAGTATGGTATGTATATAGGTATCTGTATACTGTGTGTGTAGATATATTGGTCCTTGTGTAACAGCTTCTCCTTGAGCATAGGTGGAACTTATGACTTCTTTCTAATAAAATGCTTCAAAGAGAATGGGATACACAAGTGTTTGATTACATGCATGATTACGTAAGTAGTTTATATAAGATTGTAACACTCACCAAGCTGGAGTCTGTCACTTCCTTACTGGCTTGGAGGAAGGAACAATTCACGTGGCAGGGAACTTCCAGTGGTCTCTAGGAACTGAGAGGAGTTGCAGCCAACAGGCAGCAAGAAACTAAAACCCTCTGCTTTCCAAACAAAGGAAAGGAAGTTTATCAACAACGTGAATGAATCGAGAAGGCGGTTTCAGAATCTAGGCATGTAGCTCTTACGTGAAAGTCTATAGAGCGAATTAGAGTCACTCTTCATAGTCTAAGCACGAAATATGAAGAAGAAAGCTGCAGGAGATGAGGCTGAAGGTGTGTAAAAGCTGTGTCCTCGGAGACAGTGCCGCAGGCAGGGTTAGAGAGTTAGGTCCACTCCTTGGAGTTAGCAAAAGCTATTGAATAGTTGAAGGAGAAGGGCATCTTCGTTGGGCCTTTTCTTTAGGTATTACTCAGGGTGCAGGGAAGGGCAGTGAGAGATGGATCTGGAAGCACTAAGACAATAGAAAACTGATTGAAGCAGTCCAGGTATGAAAAGACGGGCAAAACACACACGGGCAATGAATTTCTTGACATAGTTGCTTGGGTAACGCTGTGGCATAGCAGATTAAGTTGCTACCTGTGGCACCGGCATCCCACAGGGGCAAAGGGTCAAGGCCCAGCTTCTCCTTCTCCAATACAGCTCCCTGCTAATGCACCTGAGAAAGCAGCAGAAGATGGCCCAAGTTCTAGGGCCCTTGCACCCACGTGGGAGACATGGATGGAGTTCCAAGCTCCTGGCTTCAAATTGGCCCAGCCCCAGCCATTGCAGCTTTTCGGGAAGTGAAACAGTGAATGAAAGATATCTTTCTCTCTCTCTCTGCCTCTTCTTCTGTCTGTGTAACTCTGCCTTTTAAAGAAATTAATAAATCTTTAAAAATTGCTAAATGTTAAAATTTTATTTGATGATAAGTGTGTTTTAAATTGTCATATCAGATAGGAACAGATATTTTTAAAATTAAATAAGTATCTGGAAATTATATACTTGAACTGACATCATGATTAATATGTTTAATTCCTCTATCAGTAAATCAAAATTAAATATCGGTTAATTTAAATAATTATTAAAGTGTTCTTTTTCCAAGGATGAAGAAAAATTTTCCCTCCATTTCAAGAATGACTAAAAAGGGAAGTTTTCTTCATTGGAGCACAGCATAAGTGAAGTCAGATTCTTATCTGTAGATTAACACCATGCTTGGCTTACACCGTGCTTTCCCGAACTTTCTAGCAGCTTATTTCTCTTTACAAATTTAAACAGGCAGCAATGTAATAAGCATTGAGAGCACCAGGCAACCCACATCACACTTAGCTCTGTTCCATTGCATCATAGCCCCTAAGGTTTCTCCCTGGAATTTAGCCCAGTAATATATTGAAGAAATGAGCAAACTCTGTGACTTGAAAAATGCAAAGTCAGGTAGACTACCAATGAACTCGATAGCATATGGAAGCAGGGGACAGGCAAATACATACACACACACACACACATACACACACCCAGACACACACATACGCTACACACCACACACCCAAGTGTGGATGATCTAATACCTACATCAAATAGCCGTGGAAAAATTACACTTATTTTCTGTTCATAAGTACCTAACTTACCTCCAAGCTGGGGTAGCTGGAGAAGACACAGCTCCCAAAGGTTAATTTGGAAGTGATGTGTCACAAGAGAAGTTCAGATCAAATGAAAAGTCAGCATAGTTCTGGAACTCATAGATGAGGCCAGTCCTAAATTTTCACCTTAAAAACTGGATCCATAGGTCACAAGCGTGCCAGTGTCTAGGTCTGGAGTATGAATCTCATCACCACAGTATGCGTGCTGAAGAAATCCCGACACAGTCACCTGCGAAGTGGGAAATCTATAATTACATGCTTTGTAGTCAGCTGCTTCCTCCAGGCAACCACCCTACGGTAAATCTGCCATGAAAAGTAATCTAAAAACGCTCCCTAGGGAGAACTGCGCTCTCGTAAAGTAGTAACCTGCTAAATATGGAATTAAGTCATTTTCTAACTCCTTTTTTTTTAAAAAAAAAGCCCACTTTAAACAAGAGGGAAAGTCATAGAGCTGGGATCAACATAACCTTGTGTAAGCTTTATGTAATAGTTACTAAATAGAAAGATTTAAAAAGAACAAAAATCAACAACCTTGAAACTCTCCTAATTTTCTTGCTACTGCTTTGTCACTTCTGGTGAGGAGAGTAACCTTGTGGAAGCCTTGAATACAACAAGATAGGAAGAAAGAAACAAAGGATGTCAAAAGAGCCAGAAAACATGTAACAAATAGGGTAGTGGTTAGCAACAGTGTACCAATAATTACTTATGAGCGTGTCCCAACATTGGCACACCTGAATACTTCATGAAAATGTTAGTAGAAGTAAAGAACCAAAATGATAACACAGTAACAGTAGGGGCTTTACTTTCAACAATGAGTAGATAATCCAGATACAAGGTCAGTAAGGACACAGGGGATGTGAATTACTCTACAAACCAAATGTACCTAAAATACATCAACAGAGAACAGTCTATCCAATGGCAGAATAGTACACATTCTTCTCAAGTACACAAGGCACATTTTCCAGAATAGCTCACATATCAGGACACAAAACAATTCTTAGCAGCCATAAGGAGATTTAAATCCATCAGGCATCTTTTCTCATCACTATGGTATTAAATCAGTGAAGGAAAGAAAAGGAGACAGAGAAAGAGAGAAGATTCCATGCCATTGGTTTTTGCCTCAGATGTTCACAATGTCTGGGGCTGGGTTAGCTTGAAGCCAGGAGCTGGGAGCTCAATCCAGGTTTCCTATTTGGATGCAAGAAACCCAATTTCTTGAGCCATCATTGCTGCCTCCAGGGTCTGCATTAGCAGGGAGCTGGAACCGGAGCCAAATACTGAAGCCAGCGCTACTCCACATGGGATGTGAGCATCGTAACTGGTGTCTTAACCTTTGGGCTAACTGCCTTCCCTTCAGTAATTACTTTGACTGTAAGTGAATTAAAATTTCCAACCAGCATACATAGAGTGGCTAAATGTATAAAAACAAGATCTGACAAGTTGTATTCAAGAGACTGACTTTAGCTTGAAGGGTGTACATACACTGGAAGTGAAGGGATAGAAAAAGGTATCACAGTAAAACAGCGATGAAAACAGAGCAGGAGTGGCTACAGTCATAATGACAAAGCTGACTCTCATCCAAACTGTAAAAGACAGATGAACAAAGTCATTATATGATGGTAACAGGGTCAAATTCTCAAAATAAGGGAACCATTATAAATAATGTATGTATGCAACATTGGCACACCTAAATATTTAATGAAAATATTAATAGAACAGAAGAAAACAGAAGATTATAACACAGTAAGATTAAGGGACTTCAGTACTTTACTTTCAATAATAAAATGATAATCCAGATATGAAATCAGTAGGAAACAGTGGATTCACATAACCACCATAAACAAAAGGTATATAAAATAGTTAGACAGAGAACATTCTACCTAGTAGCAGAGTCTGTATTCTTCTCAATCACACGTGACACGCTTTCCAGAATAGATAATATATCAGGCCACAAAACAAGACTTACTATCCATAAAGAGATTGAAACAATATCAGGTATCTTTTCTGATTACAATAGTGTGAAATTAGGACTCAAAACTAGGAGGAAAATTAGAACATTCACACATTGTTGGAAATCAAGCAACTCACTGAGCAAGCAGTTGGATCTGTTTCTGACCCCAGCTTCTTTGGCTCATTTGCAAATAGAAATTGTCAAGAGGCCCATGTGCCATCCAGAGAAGGTTTATTAGGGCTTCTGCTTGAGCACAGAGGTAACAGCGTGGTGGGGAGGAGGTTCCTCCCACTGGATCCCTGACAGGAGTTTTACTTGGCTGAGGAGGCATGGTGCTGCCCCTTTGGCACACGATGCTTTTCTATTGGTACGTGGCACTTTAATCAGCACAGGTGCACCCTTCTGGAGAGTTCTGCACAGGTGTTGTCCTTTTTTATTTTTGAATTTTTTGTTTTTTCATGTGACATACTCAGAATGGTAGGTGCTCACTGATGCCACTGTAAGAAGGTCATCTGTTGTTCATATTGGGTTATTCTGGGCATGTGTGTAGCTCAAGGAAGTCCCTAGCAAGGTAGTAGGACATCTTTCGCAGTTAGGGTCTGGTGCCCTTGTTTCTGATTGAACTTCAGCTGGACATGGATGCATAGTTGGACAGGGAGACACATACATGTTAGAATGGGAGGGACTTGATTTAACCAGGTCTTTTTTTATCCTGTCAAAGAAAAATCAAAAAATCTCGAGACAAATGAAAATGGAAACAACATACCAAAATATATCTGATACTTCAAAAGCAGTTCTAAGAGAAAGTATATAGCAACAAATGCCTACATTAATGAAAAAGAAAAATCTTACATAAACAACCCAACTTTACACCTCAAGGGATTGGAAGAAGAATTAACGAAGCCTGAATTGAGAGAAAGGAAGGAAATAATAAACAGTAGAGGAAAAGTAAATGAAATAGACACTTGAAAAACAATAGAAAAAGCCAATGGAAATAAGAGTTGATTTTTTTGAAAAGGTAGACAAAATTGACAATCTTTTAGTTAAACTAAGAAAAAAGAGACTATTTAAATAAATAAAATTATAAATGAAAGGGGAGACATTTTAACCAACACCACAGAAATACAGTGGATTATAAGACAGTGCTATGAACAATTGTAAACCAAAAATGGGATAAATGGGAAAAGGCCTAGAAACATATAAACTATAAAAATTGAATCAGTGGGAAAATGTCTAGAAATGTAAAACTACTGAGAGTGAACAATGACAAAATACAACACTGAACAGATTAATAATGAGTAAAGAGTTTGGGTCAGTAATCACAAGTCTCTCCACAAATAAGAGCCCAGTTCAAATTGATTTAATGGCTGAATTCTAGTAAACATACTTAGAAGAATTAATGGCAATACTTTCCCAAATCTTTTATTGACATAAAAATAGACAAACAGGGAGGGACCAGCATCGGATGCAGCAGTTAAGATGCCACATGGGAGGCCACTATCCTGCCTTGGAGTGCCTGGGCTTCAGCCCTGACTTCAGTCCTGAATCCAGCTTCCTGTTAATACATACTCTGGAAGGAGCAGGTAAAAGCTCAAGTAGTTGGATCACTGCTACCCACATGGGAAGTCCAGATGTAGTTCCCAGCTCCTAGTTTTGCTTGGTCCAGCCCTTGCTACTGTGGGATTTGGGGAGGAATCTGCATATGGGATATTTCTCACTCTCTTTCTGTCTCTCTGTCTCTCCCTCGGTCTTTCAAGTAAAAACTCATTTTTAATTGAAGAATATCTCCCCTAATGTTAAAAAAACAACATACAGGGCTGGTGCCGTGGCTCACTAGGCTAATCCTCCGCCTGCGGTGCCGGCACCCCAGGTTCTAGTCCTGGTTGGGGTGCCGGTTCTGTCCTGTTTGCTCCTCTTCCAGTCCAGCTCTCTGCTGTGGCCCGGGAAGGCAGTGGAGGATGGCCCAAGTGCTTGAGCCCTGCACCTGCATGGGAGACCAGGAGGAAGCACCTGGCTCCTGGCTTTGGATCAGCACAGTGCGCTGGCCACAGTGGACATTTGGGGGTGAACCAATGGAAGGAAGACCTTTCTCTCTGTCTGTCTCTCACTGTCTAACTCTGCCTGTCAGAAAAAAAAAAAAACATACAGATTGAATAAAGTAGGCAGACCAAAAATAAATGAATATGTGGTGTTGGGAAAACTGGGTAGCCACAGGCAGAAGAGTGAAATTGGATACAAAAATTCACTCGAAGTAGATTAAAGGCTTAAACATAAGACCCAAAATTGTAAAACTACTAGAAGAAAATACAGGAGGAACTTTTCTGTTGGGAAAATTGGGGCTTGTAGGCTAAAGGTTACAAAGTTTCAATTATGTAGAATGAATAAACTCTGCAGGTCTGGTGTACAGGATGGTGACTATAGTTAAAATTGTATTGTTTACTTGAAATTTGCCAAAAAGTTTTGTCTTTTTTGGGTAGATGACTTCCTACAGCCAGGTCCACAAACTATAGCCTGAAGCTCCATTCCTGCCTATCTGCTTCTGTAAATAAAGATTTATGAAGCCGGCGCCGCAGCTCACTAGGCTAATCCTCCATCTTGCGGCACCGGCACACCGGGTTCTAGTCCCAGTTGCCCCTCTTCCAGGCCAGCTCTCTGCTGTGGCCAGGGAGTACAGTGGAGGATGGCCCAAGTGCTTGGGCCCTGCACCCCATGGGAGACCAGGAGAAGTACCTGGCTCCTGCCATCGGATCAGCGCGGTGCGCCGGCCGCAATGCGCCGGCCGTGGCAGCCATTGGAGGGTGAACCAACGGCAAAGGAAGACCTTTCTCTCTGTCTCTCTCTCTCACTGTCCACTCTGCCTGTCAAAAAAAAAAAAAAAAAAGATTTATGGAAACATGGTCAAGCCAATTTATTTATTTATTTATTACTTATGGCTATTTCCATGCTGTCATAGCAATACTGAGTAGTTGTGCAATGTTTAAGAATTTACTATCTGATCATAGCCCTGACTGTTAATGAACAACTTAATACATTATCCCTCTTAGTAGTTTTTTTATCTGTTCTACTTAATATGACTGGTTTAGATCTGTAATTGATGCACAGTTATTCTTAAGTGTTGAAAATTAACTGAAATGTGATCCCTGTTGAACATGGTGGTGGGAATGGGAGAGGGAAGAGATGTATAATTTAGGACATGCTCAGGCTGACTTGCCCCAAGTGGTGGAGTTGGAAGCATACCAGGGGATTCCAATTCAATCCCATCGAGGTGGCATGTACCAATGCCATCTCACTGTTCCAGGTGATCAATTTCAGTTCACAGTTGGTCATGGTGAAGGGACTGGGAGTCAAAGGGAGCACTTAGACAAGTCTAGTACCTGCTAACGCTAACTGATGGAGTAAATAAAGGGGAGAGTGATCCAACATGGGAAGTGAGATACTCAGCAGACTCATAGAATGGCAGATGTCCTAAATAGCACTCTGGCCTCAGAATCAGCCCTAAAGGCATTCGGAGCTGGCTGAAGAGCTCATGAGAGTATTTCAGGCATGGAAAGCCAAGACACTCTGGCAAAAGATCTCTGCGAGTGAGATCCCAGTGGAAAGAACAGGTCATCAAAGAAGGAGGTACCTTTCTCTGAAGGGAGGAGAGAACCTCCACTTTGACTATGACCCTTGTCTAAACAAGATAAGAGTCGGAGAACTCAGAGGGCTTCCATAGCCTTGGAAACTCATGACTAGAGCATAGGGAGATTACTGATGCCATAGACAGGAGTGTCAATTGGTAAAGTCAACAACAGGAGTCACTGTGCACTTACTCCTCATGTAGGATCTCTATCCTTAATGTGCTGTACATCGAGATTTAATGCTATAACGAGTACTCAAACAATATATTTCACTTTGTGTTTCTATGGGGGTGCAAACTGTTGAAATCCTTACTTAATGCATACTAAACTGATCCTCTGTAAAAAAAAAAAAAAAAAAAAATTATCAGTTCCCAACTTGACTCTCACTGGGATTAAACATGACAATAGGTCTGCTCTGATTTCATCATCATTTAAAAAAAATTCATCTATTATTTTTCACTTTATGTTTCTGTGTGGGAGCAAACTGTTGAAATCCATACTTAATGTATACTAAGCTGATCTTCTGTATATTAAGATAATCGAGAATGAATCTTGATGTGAATGGAAGGGGAGAGGGAGTGGGAAAGGGGAGGGTTGTGGGTGGGAGGGACGGTATGGGGGGGAAGCCATTGTAATCCATAAGTCGTACTTTGGAAAATTATATGCATTAAATAAAAGTTTAAAAAAAAAAAGAAATATTTCATTATATTGAAAAAAAAAAAGAATTTACTATCACTTCTTCTACAAAAAAAGTAACCAACTCATACTCCAGTACATGCATATTTTTACACATTTCTTGCCATCCTGCTCTGTTTAGTGTAACAGTAGCATTTTGTTTTATCCATTGAGTTGATCTATGTAAGAAAAGCCCCAAACGGGAGAGTTAGAAACGTGCCAGGGGATTCCAATTCAATCCCATCAAGGTGACATGTACCAATGCCATCTCACTAGTCAAAGTGATCAGTTTCAGTTCATAATTGATCATAATAATACGATTAAGTGTCAAAGGGATCACATAAACAAGACTAGTATCTGCTAATACTAACTGATAGAATTTAAAAGGAGAGAATGATCCAACATGCGGAGCAGGATACACAGCAGACTCATAGAATGGCAGATGTCCTAAACAGCACTCTGCTCTCAGAATCAGCCCTTAAGGCATTTGGATCTGGTTAAAAAGCCCATGAACGTATTTCAGGCATGGAAAGCCAAGACACTCTAGCAAAAAAAAAAATGACCTAAATGAAAGATCTCTGTGAGTGAGATCCCAGTAGAAAGAACGGGCCATCAAAGAAGGAGGTACCTTTCTCTGAAGGGAGGAGAGAACTTCCACTTTGACTATGGCCTTGTCTAAATAAGATCGGAGTTGGCAAACTCAAGAGGTTTCCATAGCCTTGGCAGCTCATGACAAGACCAGAATGCCAGTTGTTAAATCAACAACAGGAGTCACTGTGCACTTACTCCATGTAGGATCTCTGTCCTTAATGTGTTGTACTATGTGAATTAATGGCATAACTAGTACTCAAATAGTACTTTACACTTTGTGTTTCTGTGTGGTTGCAAACTGTTGCAATCTTTACTTAATATATACTAAGTTGATCTTCTGTATATAA